GCCGTTGCCGCTCTCCCCGCCACTGCTGCGGTTGTAACCGGCTGCCGCGGCGGATGCGGCTGTAGCTGCAGCAGCTCGCTGCAGCAGCGGAAGCAGGTCCCGTCCTCGCCCCGGCTCCACCTCCTCCTCCACACTGCGCATCAGGGCTGCTGACGCGGGTGCCGAGAGAGCCGCCGGTTGCGGCGACGGCTGTTGCGGCGGCGGCGGCGACGGCGGCGGCGACGACAACGGTCTCAGCGGCTCCGCCATCCAGCTGTAGTCCCCGAGGGTGGCCTCCGTGAGACGCAGCTCCCCCGTGGTGAGAGTGCCGGTTTTATCCAGGGCCACTGTCGTACACGCGGCCAGAGCGTCCAGAGCACTGGCTCCCTTGAGCAACACGCCCTGCGGAATGGCGGTTAAAAACGCAACCGTTGGAAGGGCAACCGTTGGACGGGCGGCTAGGACGACAGTGTGTGTGTGTGCGCGCAGGTAATGTTCTTTTCCCTGCGGTCTAAGACAGTTAAGGGATTCATCCCAACCGCCGGGCCAATCCCACCAGGCGCCCCGGCCAGACCAAAGAGGAGGAAGCGGCCCGGACGACTGAGGGCCCCCCCCTCCCGCGCCACGGTTCTTTCCACCCTGCACTAAAAAACTCCCCCGCCGCCGCCGTCGCCACCGCCGCCACCACGACACACGACACACGACACGAGCTGCCACCACGACACTCGACGCTCGACGGAAGCACCTTGCGTGTCACTGCCGCCATGGCGCACACGTAAGCCAGCGGCACCAGCACCACTGCGCACGGCGACCCCGCCACCAGCACCCCCAGTGCGCGGTACACCGCCCCCCCTGGAGCCGCCATCAGGGGCACACCGGCGGCTAGCAGCACCGCAGCCGCCAGCAGGGTGGCCGCTACCACCCCCCGACTCCACACAGCACCCACGCGGTCCAGCAGCCGCTGCAGCTGAGGCTTGGAGGCCTGAAGGGGAACGACGACGAACCACGTGAACGAGTGAAGCTACTGCCCTGCCAAGGAGAAAGAGTGAGTGTACAAGCAGCAGAACTGAAGGGGACAGCAAGGACAAGACACGCCCTGCAGCCCTTCCCAGGTCCGCACCCCCCCCTAGGGGGCTCCCGGCGCCGGCTGGTGTTCCGGAGCCAATGCCGGTGGCAGCCGTCACTTGTTGCGGGCCCCCTGCATCCTGAGGTGCTGTGAGGTACCCACCTGGGCCTCCGAAGCCATCCTCGCAATCCTGGCCGGGGTGCTGTCCGCCGCCGCGGCCGTCACCCGCACCACCAGGGCCCCGTCCGTGGACAGCGCCCCCGCAGGCACCCAGCCGCCCGCAGCCACCCGGGACGGAGCCGACTCCCCGGAGATGTGCGCCGCGGACACGGAGGCCGCACCCCACACCACCTCGCCATCCAGGGGAACCTGAGTTCCGAAAAAACAACAAAAACGTGGCACGCAGCCGGCAACCCCGGGTTCGAACCCGGGTGGGGGCAGAGCCAAATTAAACAAAAAAAACTCGCTTGCCCCTCACGTTTATAAAGCAGAGGTAAACCAACATGTTTTCAGGAGGTCGATATGCAATCTACACGTTCGGCAGGAAGAGGACAAAAGAACCGTTCCTCCCTCCCATCCCCTCCCAGTCAGGGTTCCTTTTCTCCCCACCCATCCCGAAACTAACCTCGCTCTACCCTGCCCCTCCCTCCCCCCTACCCCATACACAGACACACTCCCCGCACCCCTACCTGCTCCCCCGGTCGAACCAGCACCAGTTCCCCGACTGCCACACTCTCCACCAGCACCTCCCGGCAACTGGACAAGTCGGGTCCAATACCGCTGCTGCTGCTGCTACTGCTACCGCTACCACTACTGCTACTTCTGCCGTGCCTGCTACTACTAGCCATCGAAACCGCCTCTGCTCCGTTGTTCATGTCTTTGGCGCCGTCAACTTCTTCTTCTGTCCCGTGCGATGGTGGTGGTTGTGGTGGTTGTGACGGTTGTCGTACATGTGGCGGCGGTTGTGTCATGGCTACCAGAGTGGCTCTTTCAGGTATGGCGGCAAGTAGACGCTCTAAGGAGCCCTGGGCCCGGGAAGTGAACTGTACGGCAGGTAGACATACATACAGTCAGGCGGTCAGGCAGGCAGACAGACAGGCAGGCAGGCAGACAGTTAGACAGACAGGTAGGCGGGCAGGAGGGATTGGATAAGAAGGAGGAATGGGTCATTTGGGAAAGCGAACGTGAGGCAGGCTGAGGGCGATATCCCACTGAGGTGGAAAGTGCGCGTCTAAGGTGCCTGTGTGCGTGTGTGTGTATGTGTGTGCTGGGGGAAGAGGAGGAGGAGAAGGGGAGAGGAGGAGAGGAGGAGGGGATAAGCTCATCAAGATCCTTCTATTCCCGGTCCAAGTTGACAAACATACACACACACACACACACACACGCGCGCGTCCAAACCTGTGCAAATCGCGCAGGTACGTATACATGTACGGCACTGGGCAAATTTAACGTACCTTGGCCTCTAAAAAGTGCGATACTTGGAACAGCAGCAGCAGCAAAGCGCCCTACAGAGCGCGTCAACCGCCGGTGCGGTACGGTACGGCAAAATCGGGTCAACGGGGCGAAACGGCAAGCAGCGGGCAGCGATGCGGCGGAAAATGAGGATGAGTGATTAGTGACTGGTGATTAGTGATGAGGTGATGGACCCAAATACACCAATTGCAATTTAGAGTCCAGACTCCAGGGCTATACAGTTCGTCCAGGACTCAACCACTACTCCATCCACTGTGTTAAGTTACTTCTCCCTCCCACTCCCTCCCTCCCCCCTCACTCCCCTCCCACTCCCTCCCACCCACCCACTCCCTTCCCCTCCCCCCCCTCCCTTCCTACTCCCTCCTCTCCCCTCCCACTACCCTCCCACTACCCTCCCACTCCCCTCCCACTCCCCTCCCACTCCCCTCCCACCCCTCCCACTCCCCTCCCACTCCCCTCCCACTCCCCTCCCACTCCCCTCCCACTCCCTTCCCACTCCCCTCTCACTCCCCTCC